TGTGTGTGAGAGAGAGTGTGTGTGTGTGTGTGTGTGTGTGTGTGTGTGTGAGAGAGTGTGTGTGTGTGTGTGTGTGTGTGCATGTTTATGTGATTTATGAGGACACAAATTTGTATAATAACATGGGTATGACAGGTATTACAAGGAGAAGATGATTTATGAGGACATTTTCAGTGTCTCCGTAATTCAAAACGCTTATAAATCACACAGAATGGAGTGTATTGAAAATCTGAAAATGCAGAAAGTCTCCTGTGAGGGGTAGGTTTAGGGGTAGGGTTGGTGTAGGGCAATAGAATATACGGTCTGTACAGTATAAAAACCATTACGCCTATGGAGAGTGCCCATAAACCATAAAAACAAACCTGAGTGAGAGAGAGAGGGTGTGTGTCCTGATGTGTCTCTTTTGTATCACATCATGCTGGAAGAGGGTGGACAGAAACTAAATTCATATTTATTATATTATATATAATTTATGAATCTAAAATGTCTTTTCACTGGAGAACTAACAGTGAGAGTAAAATCTCTTATTCCAGTTAAAGAAAACCCCTCAAATGCAAAATACTGATTATAAAAATATGAGATGTGTCATATTGCTTACAATAATGACCAAATATGTAGTTTATCATCAGAGTTTATAGTACTTTTTGTTTTAAATGTCAGGTTTGCTCACATTTCAGTGTATTTTAATGGAAACTGTTGCTTTAGACACACACACACACACACACACAAATTATTTAATGCTTATTTTAAAATCATAATTCAACTGAACTACACATTAAATTAAAACTAGATGAATTTTTTCATCTAGATATGATCTCTAGGCTGCAATATACCTGACAATCATATTCCTTTCAATAATATAGACCAAATATGAAAATTCATCATCAGAGTTTATAGTATTATAAGCTTTAAATGTCATATTTTCTCACATATCAAATGATTTGCTGCTGATGTAAAGCTTATTTTAAAATCCTAACTGAACTAAACTATTAATTAAATTTAATTCATTACAAATTTTTAATTTGACCATCCAAATGCAAAGTAACCAATCAAAATCAGCTGATACAAACAGACCGAATCAAAGACAGATCAGAGAGAGGATGTGTGTCATATTATGTCAGATGAGTTCACTGGCCGCGTTTCATATGTGTTGCTGCATCTGATTGGCCCGAGAGCATCGATGACATCAGCGGCTGGCAATGAGAGGAGGAGACACTAATCTGACTCCCATCCCCCACTGCAGCCATCTCTCAGAGAGAGAGAGAGAGAGAGATGGACGAGGCTGCGGTTTTAGTGTAAGAGGATTTACTTTTCAGTCTCTCCTGACATTTGCTCAGTGATGGACAAATGAGAAACACACAGATGACATGAAGATGGAGTGAATGGAGGGGAATCTGGGTCACGTACACCGCCTACAATATCACACACAGATGCAGACCGTGTCGCATCCGGCGCTTTGTCTCAATTATTTCACAGAATACTTGATTCTGATTGGCCATGACATTGTGTTTGTATGTGTGTGTGTGTCTGTGTTGTGTGTGTGTGTGTGTCTGTGTTGTTTGTCTGTGTGTGTGTGGTTAGTGATGATGCTGGATGTTAATGTGATTCTAATTTGTTAGGCTGTTACGGTAGGAAAGAGAAAAGTCAGAATGACCGAAAAAAAGTGCCCACCGAGCCTGCCTGGAATTAAGACGTTTAGCGGATCTAATATACTCGAGGTTCTTATGATCGGTCCAGACGATAAAGGGTACCCCCAAACCCTCTTACCAATGACGCATTCCTCCAAAGCTAACTTGACTGCCAGCAACTCTCTGTTATCAATGTCGTAATTACGTTCAGCGGACGACAAACGATGAGAAAAAAAAATGCGCAAGGAAGAGAGCTGGGAAATAACTGCGCCTACCCCCACCTCTGACACATCGACCTCCACCACAAACTGAGGTGTGGGATCAGGGGCTATGAGAATGGGAGCTGAAACAAAGCGGATCTTGAGGTTGGCAAATGCAGTTTCAGCTGCACTGGACCACCTGAACGTAGTTCTGGTGGAGGTCAAGGCAGCCAGAGGAGTGGCTAGTTGGCTGAAATTGCGAAGAAAACGCCGGTAGAAATTGGCGAACCCCAGAAACCTCTGCAGGGTCTTACAGGAATCTGTGGTTGGCCAATCCACTACAGCCTTAACCTTATCGGGATCCATGCGCATTCCCTCGGACGAGACGATGTATCCCAAAAATGGAACTGACTGTGCATGGAATGCACATTTCTCCGCCTTGACAAAAAGCCCATTCTCGAGCAGCCCCTGGAGCACCCGCCTGACGTGCTGAACATGTTCCTGGAGAGAAGAAGAAAATATCAATATGTCGTCCAGGTAGACATATATGAATTGATCGACCATGTCTGTCAGCATGTCATTAACGAGTGCTTGGAAAATCGCGGGGGAGTTGGATAGCCCGAAGGGCATAACCAGATATTCAAAGTGCCCCCTGGGGTATTAAACGCGGGTTTCCACTCATCCCCCTCCATTATGCGGACCAAATGATAAGCGTTACGCAAATCCAATTTGGTGAAGATGAATGCTCCCTGCAACCGCTCGAAGGCTGAAGACATCAATGGCAAAGGATAAGTATTCTTTACCGTGATGTTGTTCAACCCTTGGTAATC